CCCCTGTATTGTGTACTGAGAGAACATGGATTTTTTAACCAACTTACTGGGTGTCTCTTGAGAACCACTGTGTCTAGAAGGTCTTCAGAGAGTACTCAGCAGAGATTAGTTTTTTAGAAGAACACTTCAAGCCTTCCAAAGACTAGCATGCCTGAGGCTAAGGAAGATTCTTACACATCCCTGTCAGCACAGGGACTCGCTGGAGGACTGAACAACTTAAGGTTTGGCCTGATATACGTACATTTCAATTAGCAGTACAGACTAAGCTATTTATCAAATTGTTTAAAGCCATACACGAAGTCTGCGCGTTGGACTGTGTCTGAAGGATGGAGAAGAGCAATCGAAGGCTGATGAGCAGCCATACGAGGAACACAGACTACGAAGTCAGAGCAAGGGCTCACAGATAGCCCCACTCATGCGCAGGCGTAGAAGGAAGGCGAACACTCCGTTTCGTCAAGGCGCTCCCTTCCCCCACCCCCTTCCCGGCCTTCTCCCAACACGCAGGCGCATAACTTGAACCAAGATGGCGGCCCCCGTGGATCTGGAGTTGAAGAAGGTAAAAGAGGGTTTTGAGCGGATAGAGGTGTCTCTTTCGAAACAGAGGGGACTGTGGGCAAGAGTATCGACTAAGGCCCGAGTTCCGTAGAAGAAAAGAGGCTCCAGGGGACTCGGTAGTGGTTTCCCAGAATCTTAAGGCAGGACCGGTCTCCTTAGGCTTCGGTGGAGGGGGGGCGAGCGGCCTTTGCTGGATAGGAGCCGGTTGGGCTGGGTCTTTTTAAGTTTGCGGACCGATCCCTGGCCTTTCCCCTCCTTCTGAGCTCCAGAGCCGTTTTGTTGCACTAGGAGCCTTTAGGGACTCAGTTCTATAGTAAAATCCGAAGAGAGCGTTTCGAATTGGAGCTGCTTCGGGCAGCTTGCTTGAGCTGCAATTCTGCTGCCTCATTTGCTTTGAAAAGCTCCAGTCCAACTTCTGTTTTTAGGCCATTTATGCGATTCCATGGAGCCCTGGTGGTGTAGTGGTTAAGAGCTCGGCTACTAACCCAAAGGTAAGCAGTTCGAATCCACCAGCCGCTCATTGGAAACCCTGTTGGGGCAGTTCTACTCTCTCCTCTAGGGTCGCTGTGAGTTGGAATCGACTCGACAGCAACCGTTTTTAAAAAATTATTTTATTTTATTATTCGATTCCATACCTTGAAAGGTCGCAGTCTCTACAGTTCAGAAAGTCAGGTATTTTCATAGCAAAGTTCATCTCAGGGCTTTGACTCCTTTTCCTTTTTTGGAAGAACTGAAAAAACGTGTTGCCGTCGAGTCGATTCCGACTCAGCGACGTTGTAGGACAGAGTACAACTGCCCCATAGGGTTTCCAAGGAGCAGCCCGTGGATTCGAACTGCGGACGTTTTGGTTAGCAGCCGAGCTCTTAACCACTGAGCCACCTGGGCTCCTTTTTTGGAAAGACATGACAAAAAAAAAGAAATTAAGTTCAGTAAAGTTTTACCAATGAAATCAGTATCAGAAGGAATTGGGTTTCTTTGTTCAAATAATTGCTTAAAAATATGTTACTCAGATTTTGTTATTTAAGAGTGATCAGATTCTAATACCACTAAACACATTGCTGTTTAATCGAGTCCGACTCATAGTGACCCTATAGGACAGAGTAGAACTGCCCCATAGGGTTTCCAAGGAGCCGCTGGTGGATTCGAACTGCCAACCTTTTTGTTAGCAGCCAGGCTCTAAACCACTGTGCCCCCAGGGCTCCTGCATAAGAAATAGGACAGCTGAAATAGCTGTTGCCCCTAATAAATGAAGCTGTTGTTTATTTCTCTGAGGATTTAGTGTATGTGTTTGTGCCTTGTTTTTTGCCATCCTTGTCTTAAAATCTGTAAATTTAGCCTTTATGCAGCCTTCTCTAATGCCGTAATAGCTTTAACAATGTACTAGCTTCCTCAACAAACTGTGTTTGGAACAATCAGGTAATAACTGGAATTTTACATTTCTGAACACTATACCAAATTGTGCATTCCAAAATTATACCTTTTGTTTCTGTTAAAAGTTCAAATTTAAGTCATAGTTTTTTGAAAGATATAACAAGGAAGTACAATGTGAATGGACTTCTCAGTATTATTTGAATTTACTGCAAAAACAAAAACAAAACGGACCTTCTAATATTATTTGAATTTATTGCTAAGAAACATGTAGACAAAAATGTAAATGAAGAGAATGATTAACTTAAATTGGATAGTTTTGACAACCAATTAAATTAAAAGAAAAAAAAACCCAGCAAACTTTTTCAAAAGTTTTATCTTTATGGAGACTAATAGGGAATTTTAGGTGCCTTCCCTCCCCCAAAATAAATCTTTTGAGACCTTACTAGTAGGTGAGAACAAAGTTAGAATAAAAGTCAAGTAGTAGCTTTAGCTGTGTACTGCAGTCACAAATGTTATTAGTAAGGCATAAATTTGACAGCATGTGAAAGTCATTCCAGGCACTTCAACAAGAGTATCCAAGAACTGTGTTTATCTTCAAGTTAAGTAAGTGTACACAGGGTAAAATTTGGCTTGGTACGTGTGTATGAAGATCATGATGCAATTCTTCTATCAGTGCTTTGCATTTTCTCCCTTTTTTTGGTGAGTCTCTTAAAAAATATCCATATTCTGAATAGTACTGAAGACAGTAGAATGGAAGATGCCTGAAATAGAGGTCAGAAGAAATGGATTTAAGTACCTGCCTTTCCACCTGATAGTTGTGCAACCCTGTGCACAGGTCTCTTAACAACTTTAGTTACTTTGTAAATTGTGGATGTTGAAACTGCTGTTCTTAACTCATAGGGTTGAGAGGAGTAAATGAGATACTTAATGTATATTCTCATATTAATATTCAAATCAATGTGGGAAAATGCTTTGAAACTTGGAAGTATAATACAAATGTAGTGAGTTGTTACATTTATGGTTCTTGTTTTGAATCTCTGGGTTTTATTGTCTAACTATTACATTTTATTACTCTTTGGGTACTTGCTCCTTGATAGAGTTACTCTTTAAGGTGCATTTCTTCTGCTTGTTGAAATAGATTGCATCTTCTGAGGGCAGTATAAATTCAGTATTTAGCATAGTGCCTTGATCGTTTGCAATTATATTGACTTTTATTGATATTTGTTTTGGTAAATGTCACAGCTTTGCCAGAGTTTAGTGTGTTTTGTTTTAATATATTTGGATTTGACTTAAGCGTTTCCTGTAAAATATTTTACATACTAAATCAGGACTTGTTTTTATTAGGCTTTTTCAGAGCTTCAAGCCAAAGTTATTGACACTCAACAGAAGGTGAAGCTTGCAGACATACAGATTGAACAGCTAAGCAGAACGAAAAAGCATGCGCATCTTACAGATACAGAAATTATGACTTTGGTAGATGAGACTAACATGTATGAAGGTGTAGGAAGAATGTAAGTAAAATATATCCTTAAGGGGGTTATCTTGGTTGTCTGAATTAAATCATAGGAATTGTTCATTTTTAAACTTAGGTTAAAGTAACATAGAAATAGCTTTAAAAATCATCTAGTCAAATACTTTCCTTTTTTTACACATGAGAAACGGAACCCCGGATAGATTTAAGTGTTTAATTTTAGACTTTGAAGTACATTTCTTAAATGCTTCCCTGTTCTCCCTCCGGTGGGTACTTAAGTATGTAACTTCAGTGATAAAAATATAATTTGTCATGGAAAGATGTTTATAGTAATTTTGTGCATGAAGATTTTTTAAGTTGTAGTTTTAACCTCCTCTCCCCTACCCAATTTATTGGGAGTCATACAAATCATAAATCTTTTAGATGTCTGACCAGTGTTGTAAAATAAAAATAAAGATTAAATTGTCATTTAAATACGTCTTTCTTAGTGTTCTGTATGTTCTAAAGGAGGACAATTATACATGGGAAAATCTAGTAAACTAGTTTATCTTTTGTTTGTTCTGATAGTGATTATTTGATCAACTGTCTGCATTTCACTTTAAAAAAAAATTTTTTTACCCTTACGAGAGGGAATAGGTCTGCTTCATATTCTCTAAGCAGTAAATAAGGAATGGAAAAGCCCTTAAGTACAGGTCACATTCCATTACAATGAGCTAAAAGGAGAAGACTGACTTTTTTTTAACTGAGGGAGGTATGGGAGGAGGGTTATTCTGGAATTTGGTCTTTGAGTATTACTTAGTAAGTGGACCATTACTTCAAGTTTGGAGCTCTTTTACTTGGAATGGAATTTGACCTCAGTCTTAGGATGACTAGTTTTGTGACTGATTTGAAGGAAGCATAACGTGTGAAATTGAGTAATGGCTTTGGAATGGCATCATGAGAAGTAGACCCTGTAGAGGTAGACTAGTTCATCCATATCTTTCGGGGAAAGAGATAGGTTATGAAAAACTGTTCATCTAATTTGCTTTCTCAGAATAAAGAATATACCAGAAATAAATTTTATCTCTGGAGTTCATATTTTTCATCTTAGCTTGATTTAAGAGGGAAAAAAATCCCAATTTGAGAGTTTGTTACTGGGACACAAAAGAACTGGGATGAGAACAAAATAGAACCTTGAGTGTGTGCCCATGTAGTATGAAGTGCATTGTTGGCATTCACTACAGGATAATTTTATCCTTAATGAGAATATCCTTAGGTCTTAAAACAGAAATGCTAGCTTTTCTAGCATGCCTATTAACATGTTGCTCTTGGATTTCACATCACTATACTAGCCTTTGTTTGCAGCATCTAGAGTCCCTTTTTCCAAAATAGAAAAATTCTTTCACTATCTTTGGCCTTTTGAGCTAAAAAGATTACTTTTAATTAGAATAATTTAATTTACTAAACAGTTCTGCAGAAGTGATAGGAGAGTTGCTTTTCTTACATACTGCCCAAAGTGCTACAGATAGGTAGTATGCCACCCAAAGAATTTAGAGTTAAAAGTCTGGGATATGAATTAGTTAATGGTAGAACAATATTATTTCCAGAAGATTTATTTCATATAAATATATTTCTTAAAAGAAAATGTAGTTTTAAATGTTTGAGTAAAGTGGGATTCCTACATGGTTTCAGATTTTGTTTTTAAATTTTATGTTTGTGTTTTTTGCATCTCACTGGCAGTGTGAGTTTGAGCCTGCGTTGTAGGGGCATGTAAGGTGAATGGTGTTTGTTGTTTGGCTAGAGTATTAGTGCCCCTGGAGGAAGAAAAGACTTGCTGAGTATTAGTCTGGTCATGAGGACGTTCTCTTTCTTGATGCTAAACCTGAAATATGTCTCTGAATTTATAGTCTTGAGTAATCTTGGATATCATTGTGATTCACTTCTTTAATTCCAGTCTTTAATTTCTCTTTTCGTTTCCTTATTGAGTGTTATAATCTGAGAATTCTGATTCGAATATTAGTTTTTCTCCAACTTTTGTTTTAAAACCAGTGATTATAAAAATCCCAAATTCTCCATTTGTGTTTTAGAACCTGCCGTAGATTTTTGCCATTACCCTAATTCAGATCTCACAGTATCTTGCCTAGACTATTGCAGTAGCAGCTTGACTGGTCTTTCTGCCTTCTTTCTCTTTGCCCAAATCCATTCTTCATACATCTACCAGAATTGATAACATCAGTATTCTTCATAAAATCCTTTGTTGGTCCTTTGCTGTCTACTGGATAGAATCTAAACTTGTTTGCCTAGCATTCATGGCTGTTCATAATCTGTCCTTAATTTACCCTTCTAGCCTCGAGTCCCACCACTTTCTGTTCCCAGACTCAGGATGGCACTTAAGTTTCATCTGGACCAGCTTTCTTCTCTTGGTTTCGGACTATCTTTTGAGAAGAATTCTGAGGTCTCAGGTCGGCTTTAAACATGCTTTAATTGATTAGTTATGTCTGCCACATGAGTGTAGAAGAGTAGTAGTAGCATATGTGTAAGAAATTGTCATCCCTACCCTTGCCACATGGCATATACTTTGGCATAGGTGTACCACACTGGTATACTTTTTCATACATGGCATATTTTGTGCTTTCTTGCTTTTGCTCCTTCTGTGCTTTTTGGCCTGGAATATATCCCTCTTTCTCTTGTGAAATGCTTGTTTTTCAAGATAGCTCAGATCTAACTTCTCTGAAGATTTTTCCAGCATCAGGGCAGACTTATTTACTTTCTTCATTGTGCTACCAGGGGTTTTGTTACTAGTTAGTAGAGAACATTGAATGTGTGTGTGTGTGTTTTGATGGTCAGTCCACCCAACTAGATCGTCAGCTCTTTGACACCAAATACGTATTTATCTTTCTTTCCTCGTTCCCAGCATAATACCTGGCACAAAATAGGTGCTAAATAAATGTGTGTTGATTTGAATTGTATCTGATTCTCTTGTCTAAAATAACTGCATTTTCTTTTTGGTTGCTTAATATGTTTAGAAAGTGTCAGAGACTAAGAATTAGAGTTTTTTGTTCTATTTTAGTATATGATTCAGTCAAGATGAAACGATAAAAGTAACATATGTTTTGGTCAGAAACTAATGTCAAAGGAATTGTTTCTGGCCAAAAATGTGCCCTTTGGTCCAATAGGATTAATTGTTAAAAATAGTTAATAATTTATATTTGAATGTTGGTTCATAATTTGACCAATTCTAAATGCTAGTCAGTTTCTGAGATATTCTGTCAGAACTGGCAATGTAGAAAAACCCAATCCTTTAGAATTGTGCTGTGGGTGGTATAATCCAGGACTTCGAACTGGTTCATTCTGGTTCGAACCCCTGCTGATAATTTGCATTTCTAACAAGTTTCCAGGCAATGCTAATGCTGCTGGTTAGGGACCAGTTCTGAGAACCACTAGTAGAGCAGCGGTTCTCAAAATTTATTATACATGAGAATCACCTGCGGATCTTGTTAAACTATAGATTCTGATTCAGTATATCTGGGGGTGGAAATGCAAATTCTTAGCAGAGGTTCAAACCAGAATGAACTGGTTCAAGCCCCTGGTGTAATACTTGGAGAATAAAGGCTATTTTATGCTGAATAATACCAGTATAATTATTTGTTTTCCACATCTTCATAAAGAATGGAAGTCATACTTTTCTTTTTAGAGTATGTATTTAGTTTATCAAAAATCATAGCTAGCTTAGATGCCTTTCAACTCATAAGTATGGAGAAATTTGGTAGTGTTAAATATCTCTTATACATGGCTATTTTTGGTTTAAAACAAGGAAAGTAAAGCTGCAGGATAAGAGATGATGAATGCTCTATACTGTAAGCTCTGTATTTGTTGCTCAGAGTTGTAGTCCTTCTAGCCTTTTGGCATGTTGCCAGCACATTTTAGTTCTCTTACTTCATATTCTTTGGAGAGGCTGTTATGTAGCCTGATACTACTACCACCAATTTCTAGTTTTGCTACTTAAGCTGTTTGTGAACTGACCTCACCGTACTGCTTTGAGAACTATGATGAAAGTTACAACTGTGGAATGATCTGTCTGAATATTTGGAAGTGTTTGTCTTTGCATCTTTCTAGCGTGCAAGAAAGGAGTACACACAGATCTCAAATAATTTATGTTAAGTGAATTTTTCTTGTGCCTGGTTTTTTTTTTTTTCCCCAGGAATAAGTACCGGTTTGTAATGGTTTGTGGGGTTCTTCTTCCTTTTACTTTGGATAGTAGAGGATAAGATTATATTTCTCTTATAAGAATTATATTTGAAGGTGCACATAAATGACATTTAACCGTGCTAATATTTGAAAGGATTGTCATTAGAATAAATGTCAAACTTATTTTTATTAACGATAGATATGATCCTGACCCTGATTTGATGTTAGGTCTATTATTCTAGTGTTCTAATACCCTTTTTGGTTGCACATTACATAAATAACATTTCTTCTTTCCAAAAGAGAAAAGTTGGCCCTTTATTATTTTTAATATGGGAGGAACTTGAGTAGATTAGCCTTTGAGAAGAATGATTAGTGCCTTTTTAAAACTTGAACCTAACTAAAAATTACTTGTACTATATATGAACTAATTTAGAGGTATGCCACTATTCTGTGGGTATTTTTTACATTTAAGGAACTAAGAATGAACAATGGTATAAATCTACCGACTAGATAAGTGTCTAGCAATGCAGAAATTGCTGTTTGGGAGCGGTGTTGCTATTTCTACTTGTTGAAGTAATTTAATGGTTGATCTCTAGTGGTTGAAAGATCCAGAAGTGTAAAACTTAAGATAAATGTGGTACAGGTAGAAAGTGAAACAGGAGGTGTATTCCTGATATATAACAAATTAAGCAAAAAAAAAAAAAAAAAATATATATATATAAACAGTTAAGCAACTTTTTGTAACTAATTAGGACGTAGAAATCTGAACTCTTTATGACAGCTTGGTTAAGCTGTTTTAGAATGTTTGTTTTGTTGTGGTCTTAATTGTTAGTTTAGACGTTGACCTATAATTTGAGTGAGTAGTAAAGCCAG